CGCCCGGATGACGAGGCCTGCTCGGCGGCCCTAGCGACGGCGGTTGCCAGGGGCGGCGCGCGCTGATGACGGCCCCTAGCGACCGCGGTGCTGGAGAGCGGCCTCGCGTCACCGCGACATGGACGCGACCACCGCCCCGCACCTCATCCCCCCGGAAATGCCCCAGTACGGGGAGGAGAACCACATCTTCGAGATGATGCAGGTGACCCGGCCGGGGACCCCGGCGCGACGCCCGGCGCTGCGGGGCGCTCGCAGCCCGGCAACTGGGGGCACCCTGGTTACCCGTGAGGCCCCCCCACCCGCTTCCTGTACCGCCGGGACCGAGGGACCCTCACCTGGAGACGCCACCCCCGCCCGCAGACCCACGAGGAAGGAAAGGGCGCCGGCCTCTGGCCGGACTGGCCGCTGGCCAGCCTGCTGGCCGTCTGCCTCGTCCCTCCTTCTCAGGGCCCCATCTGTGGGGACCCGACGAGGTCCCAAGGGGCTCTTCCCTCGCTGGCAATGCCAGTCTGCAGCGCTGGCCCTGAGCTGGGGAGTGTCGACCTCAGAGGGGCAGCGGCCCTGCCGGTCGGGGGCGTGGGGGGCCTCCTGGCTTCCCGCACCTGGGGCCAAGTTCCAGGCTGGGCTCGTGCCCCAAGGACCCTCTCCTGCCCCAAAGGCCCGCTCCCTGTGTGGTTGGGCAAAGCCCTGCCCAGGCAACCGCTCTGAACCTCAAGAGGGCAAGGCTGTGGGGGCTGTGCTGTGGACTCTGAGCATCTCAGCTTCTGAGGACTAGTGGGAAGGAAGCAGAGCAGGGCGCACCCCAGCCCGCTGTGGGCCATAGTGGGGGCCACAGTGACCCCTGTGGCAGAGCTAACTGGAGAATCCTGCATCTCCACTCAACAGCAGGCGGCTTCCTTCAGGAAGTTTAACTGACAGAGGGAGAGAGGGATTCCTGAAGCCGAACCCTAAGTAAAGGTGTCCGCTAACCAGAAGCTGGGCGCTGGTGGGCTCTGGGGGTGCCCCGGGGCCCTGGGGGCCCTGGGCAGCCCTCAGCGGTGGAAGGCGTGCCCAGAAAGCTAGTGCAGGAGGCCCAGCCTCGGTCTTCTGTATGTATGCCCCCTCCGTGGGTTACCACGTCCACTGTTTTGTTCTTTTATTTTAAAATGACGTTAGCCCCCCACGGAGTTAGATCAACAGCAGAGTCCTGGTTTGCTCTTCGCCCCACTCCCCCATGAGAGCGCACGGGCATGGCCCTGGCACGCCCTCGGCGCTGTGACATGGCCACAGCGGTCGCAGACCAGCCCGCACCTCCATTTTACTGTAATAAAAAACTGACTCATTTTACCTCTTCCTGCGCACCATCCTCGACATCATAGGTGTGATGGGGTCATTGTTCTAATACACGTTAGACAGGCAGCTGCTTCAGAGAGAAATGAAAAGGATTGACCTGAGCCACCTGGACCCGGCGGTCTTCCCAGTGGACGCACACTGGGGTGCAGGGGGCGGGGGCTGCTGGTGAGTGCAGCGGGGTGGGGACACCTCACGGATCAGGCCCCCGTGGCTGAACCCCGCCCTGCCGTCCACCAGCCCCGCCCTACCCGCCCCGGCCACGCACCCGCTGGTTCTGGAGCCATCGGCTCTGCTTTCCCTTGGCATCGAGAGGCCGGAGTATCCGCCAAGCGAGCGGTGACGGCCTTGTGCCCGGGCAGACACCTGCACGGGCCCCTCGGGATGTGCCAGGCACTGGGGCAGGGCGGGTGAGCGGACGCAGGGCTGCAGGAGCGGTGAGAGGGCGGCTGGTGCATGTGACCAGGAAGGCAGTTTCCGCAGTTTCTGCAGACCAAGAAAAGGCGTCAAGCCGAGGGGCGCTCGCTAAAGGCCTGGGGAGGAGTGAACAGGCCGTCCAAGCAGGCTGCGGGGAGAGGGTCCCGGGGCAGCCAGCTCGGGGCCCGGGGGCCCTCCAGCCTCCCTGCGGAAGCTTCTCCAGCAACACCCCTCACACGTGCCTTGGGACTCCCAGCGCAGCCAGCTGGGGCAGGGGCTGGGCCCCAATTTGAAGGCCTGGCTGGTGGGGCGCAGTGGCGAGACCGGGCCCGGAGCCAGGTCCATGTCGGTGTGGAGCCCTGAGCGCTGCCTCGCAGCTGTGACCCCTGGGTGCCTGTCCTTTGCCTGCAGGCCATGCTGGAGCAGCTCCTCATCCACCAGCCCCCGGACCCCATCCCGTTCCTGATCAGTCACTTGCAACAAGACAACGATAATGGTGAGCCCCAGGCACTCTCGGGGGGCTCCACCCTGCGCCCGACCCTTGGTCCTCCCCGACTCTGGCTGGAAACACCGGGAGCCACTGTGCCGTCCCCAAGTCTGCAGGGCGGTCAGGGCACCGTGGGGAGGGGTTTGGGCAACGCAGGGTGGCAGTCAGTTGAAAACGCCTCATTTCTTCTGGAGCAGAACGAATCAAAATTCTCTTGGCAAGTTATTAAATGAGGACCTGAGACTGGCCCAGAGAATCAATTATTCTCTGTGATCGCCACGAGTAAGCCCAGCATCCGGCCTGCCTGGCCAGCAGCACGTGGGCACGCCTGCCCGCTGATGAGTTCCAGCTGCCCCAACCTCAGCCAAGGCACAGTGTGCTGGCTGCACCCCAGGCCAGGGCGTGGGGCGCAGGGAGCGAGGAGGAGGGCTCCCCCTCCTCCAGGCGGGCTTGCCGCCGCGAGGACCGTGTCCGTGCTGTGCGGGCTGTCGGGCCGCCAGCCGCTCTGGAGGCGCTGTGGGGGGGCGCCTGGCACAGCTGAGGGCCGAGGCCCGGAGGCCCCGGGGTGGCATTCAGGAAGCCCACGGTGAGAAAGGGCGCTCGGCAGCTGGCAAGGATGCCCCAGCGTGGAGGAGAGATGCCCGCCCACAGGCGCAGCTGGTCTGCCTGGGCCCTGCCCGCCGGCGGTGGCATCAGCGGTGGCCGCAGAGCCCGCCCGGGGCCCCCGGGGTCCTGGTGCCACTTGAGGGCCTGCACAGAGGGTGACCAGAGGCCGGTCGGAGGCCCTTTCTCAGCCCCTCGCTGCGCAGCACACGTGGCGGAGCCCACGGCCCCGGGGAGGGAGGGCTTCCAGGGCCAGCGGGGCCCTCTGCAGCCCCCGCTCCGCCGTGTGTTCTGCGCGCCTCTCTGGCGCTCCCGCGTTCACGCGTGGACGTGTGTGTCTGTCTGTCCATCCGACGCACGCACCTTTGCAGCACTGCGCCCCTTCAGACACAGGGGCACCCCTCCGCGGCGTGAGGCCAGGCCTCTGCGCGCCTCTGCCCCGCGCCCCGGCCTCTGCTCTCTGCCCGGCGCGAGCAGGAGGAGGCAGGCCTGCCGGCTGGGTGTTGTGTTGTCACCTGCCTTGGCGGACCTCACAGCCTCGGCCCCGCCCGCGCCGGAGAAGGCGGCTGATTCCCGGCGCCCCGACCCCAGAAGCCGCGCTCCTCTCTGCTGGAGCGCTGCCGTCTGGGATCTTTCACCGACGCCTCTGAATCAGCAAAGCAAAGGAGAAGCAAAGCGAAAGTAAAAATAAAAGCAAAGAAGCTGAAAGGAAAATGGGGCAGAGCGAAAGGGAGGCCGAGGTCCTGCAGCTCCCGGACCCCGTATCCAAGAGACCCTTGCTCTCTGAGCCTCAGTTTCCTCACTTGTAAAGTGGCCTGGGGCGAGGTGGGGCGGGGTGCTAAGGTTCCACCTAGGGTGGTGGCCTCCGGAAGCTGCCTCGGCCACTGGCCAGGCATCAGGGTGCCGGCCGATGCTTTGAGGGGCCCAAGAGTGGCAGGTCGAGTTGCCACTCATGAAAACTGCATCAGCGGCCAGGCCTCCTGGCCAGTCCACGGGCCCTCCGCTCACTGGCCACGCGTGCTGGCGGGCAGGGGTTCGCTGGGCACGTGGCGGGGTGGCCAGTGAGCCCAGTGGCTGAGTGGACAGCGAGAAGGCGCAGGGCTCGGCCGGGGCGTTTCGTTTCGGCGAGGGGGCGAGGAGTGCCCGGCGCGTGGGCTGGCAGCGCCTTCTCGCCAGAACAGCAGATTTAGTACAAAGTGAGCATTTACAGTAGCCCCGGGCGCTATTAAAGCAGGCGATGGCGCCTATGATTGTGCGTTTCGTGTTTTATCAGACGTTTGTCCAAGAAAGCTGTGTATAGAGCCCCAGTACCTGGGGGGTTTCTTGTGAATTTTAAATCATGCTCCTAGTTAAACCTCAAAAGGATCTGCGGATGGAAAGGTTTTTTGATTTGCTTTGAAGTGGTTTGAAGAAGTTGATTACTCTTGGCAGTCAAGCAGCCTTTCATGACACTGTTTATAAATAATTACTCACGAGCAGGGCTGGAGTTCCAAGGTGTTTTAAGAAACTGAAATTAATCACATAAATGTGTGGGAGAAATGAGGTGGGGAGACAGGCTGGGGATGTTCCCCTTTACAGCCCTTCCCTGGATGTGTGCAGCTTGGTGCCACTTTCTGCAGCCTGCGGGGACCCCCACCCCCGCCGGCCCCCAATGGTGTGTCTCTGGGGCTGCTTCTTCCTTCTCCTTGGGGTGTGGCCTGAGCCCTGGGTCGGGCCCAGGTTCCCAGCACCTTCAGAGGCCTGTGATCTGAGCCCTGGGGGCTGGGCCCCCCCACAGGAGCCAGGACCCCCCACCTTGCTCCGCCTGAAAGCCCCCCAGCCTCGGCCCCCTCGCTGCTGCAATACTGCCCCTCCTCCACCTTCCCTGGCACCCAGCTCCAGTTTCCCTCTATTCCAGCTGACCACCGTGTCCCTCAAGCCACCTCCCACCCCTGCTCCCCGACAGCAGTTTCCTGCCTGCTGCGGCTTTTCCCACCCAGCAGGGGGCGCTGGCAGGCCCAGCCCCAGCCATCCGAGGCTCTGGCCAGACTCTGGCTGGCCCCTGGCTGGACACCGAATCCGCCTTTCCAGGGGCTGGTCTCCTGCTCGCTGGCCAGAGAGGCCCAGACTCTGGCCTGCAGCCTGGGGGCCTCCCTTTGCGTCCCTGCCCACGGACGTGAGCAGCCAGTGTCCAGTGGCGGCAGGGGTCTGCTCCCATACTGCTCCGGGGCCTTTGTGGGGTCATCCTTTCTGATGGGGTGCCCCTGGCCTGCCTCCCATATAGGCAGGACTCGGGGAACCCCGCTGCCCTTTGAGCAACCCCAGATCTGCTCTGCTCTGCTGCTTGGGCCCCGCCGCTCCGTTTGAGATGCCAGCAGGGAGACGGTGCCCTCGAGGGTGCAGAGGAGGGACAGCAGGGGCCGCTGCAGGGGCCGCTGTGCTGTGGCTCCTCGCGCCCTGGCTGCGGCCAGGGGGGAGCTCTGCCGCCCACGGGAGCTCCCCGCCCTCTGGGGGCAGCGGTCCTGCTGCCAGCGCGGCGAGCTGGGTGGGCGGGGCCGGGTGGCCCCTCCCGCGAGAGCCCGTAAGGGGCACGGAGGCCGCGCTGGGGGCTGGCGGCGCCCTGGGCTGACTCCGCCGGAGACGCGGCCGGGCGCCCCTCGGGTGCCTGGGCAGCGCCTTCCACTCAGGCACCACCCTGGGGAAAGCCAGTCACCGGCACTTCACAGCCGGGCTGGGGCAGGGCCCTGGGGGCGGATGGAGACAGCGAGGCCACAGCCCTCGCAGCGTCCCCCAGGCCCGAAAGCGAGAGCAGCAGCAGAAGGCCGCCCTGCGCTGACCTCTGCTCCCGCGGGCGCAGCCCTGGCCCTGGCCCTCCTGCCGCCCTGCCAGCTCCTTGCCGGCGTCCCGGAGGCCTGTCTGCGCTCCTCGGCAGCACCCGGTCCCTGCAGATGAGGGGCCCAGGGAGTGTTTGTGGGGTGAATCTCTGAATTAAGTTAACGTGGACTTCCCCGCTGGCCTGCCGTGAGATCCAAGCCAGTCACATTGGTGCCCCCACCGGTGGCTTTGGCCCCAAACCGCTCCCAGCTGAGGTTCCCGCCGGCCGCTGCGGGGCAGACAGTGCAGGCCCAGCGACTTGAGGTGCTCAGCCCCGTCCAGGGAACCCCCTCACTCCGGCGGGGGGCCGGCCTGTGGCCCCGACTCCACACGTCGGGAAGGGGGTGACGGCACAAGCCGGCGTGTGGGGCCTGTTGCCGGCGTCTGACGAGCAGGAGGATCCCCATATGTACTGGCCTCCTCTTTCCAGCCCCCCTCCGTCGGCAGGTAGTGCTTTCTGCTGGCCCAAGAACATTCCAGAACAGGAGCAGCTCAGCCGGGCGGGCGGGAGCCAAGTCTTTCCATTTGCATAGAAATGTCCATATTTGAAAACAAAGACTTTTCTATCGTGGGTTTTATAAATCTGGCCCTTACTCTCCCGGCTTTTCTCCATTATTTTCCTCTGTAAAATGATGGGGAATACAATTTGCTAAATAAAAAGGCATAAATATAAAAAAAAGCTTCGAAGGTCGATTTACATAAAATACAGCTTTATTTGAAAGCGCGTCCCCGAGACAAAGTCCCTGTTTAAAATGCTTTATGGTGTTTGAAACCCCAATTGTGTTCGATATTTATTAGTTTGGCAAACAAGATACTGTGTCCATGTCCCCTTGGAGACAGAAAAATAAACCATCTCAGTGATCGCTTACCTCTCTAAACACAGAGAATATGTCCCACGGAGCAAGCATCTCCGAGTCGGCGGGTTACAAACGACCGTGTCACTTACAGAAAATGAAGTCGGGGGAGGGGAGAAATAAATACGCCCGAGTGCGGCAGACCTGGGGGGTGGATTTGTCATATCGAGCGGTGACATTCAAATGTTTTTATTCCGCAGTGCCGAGGATTGTAATATTAGGTCCACCCGCCTCCGGGAAAACGACTATAGTAAGTGCATCGCATTAGGGGTGGAACGCGGTAATATCTCACCTGCCCGGGGCGCGGCGAGCTTGGCCCACAGCGGAGTTGGGCTCAGCGGAGCTGCTCTCTCCCCTCTGTTGCCTGACTTGTTTTCTAACACTAGAGGCAGGATGCGGCCATAGCCAACACCTAAGATACCCAGAGAACGATGAGGCAGGATGCGGCCATAGCCAACACCTAAGATACCCAGAGAACGCCAAGGGCCGGCCCACCAAAAAAAATGATAATAATAAAAGCACCCCACCAAAGCCGAGGTGGAGCCCCACGCTGGCGGCAAGCGTTACCCCGGGCTTGGGAGGGGACTCCCGGGTCAGAGCCTTGCTAGCAGGCGTCTGGAGGCAGGCGCTTGCACACTTCAAAGACTTTGGGGCCGGGCTTCACCCCAGGACTCCAGCCCAAATGTCCCTACCCAGCAGGAAGGCACAGAGCTGGGGAGAGGGAGGCCCTGCCCGGCCTTCGGGGCTCTAGCTTTGGACTTGCATCTGCTGCTCTTTCCTGAGATGCAGGAACACCCCACCCACTGGGGTCGCCCCTTTCTGGCCTTCCCCCTTAGGGGTGCTGCTGAATGGGGGCCTGGGAATTCTGTTCCCGCTGCAGTTTTGATCTTTATGCTCCTATTTAACGTGCCAGGCACTTGCTAGAATTTCAGTCGCCTGCCACGGACTCTCTGTCCTTGCACCGCCGGTCCTTGAGCCCTGGTGAGCAATGGCCAGCCCTTCCCGCAGGGCCGTGTCACTGCCGGGAGCAGCTATCGGGCCTGGCTGGGGCGGCAGGGGCTTCGCTGACTGCCTGGCGTCCCGCAGAGGAACCGCGGCGCTCGCTTCCTGCAGAAAATCGCTTCCACCTGCTCTGCTCTTGGCGTCAGTATTGTTCTTCTAGTCATCCTTCCGTCTGTGCATCCAGCCGCCATCCATGCACCCCTCCCTCCATGCACCCCTCCACCCACGCATCTGCGCACCCAGCCCTCCCTCCACCCCTCCATCCACCCACCATTCACCCAGCCGTAGTCTTTCTACTTTGTTCCCAGCTGAAGCGCTCTCCCAGAAAGCAGGCCCGGCCAGGCAGGCAGCAGCAGGACCAGAGGGCCTGGGAAAGCAGGTTCCAGACTCCCCTCCAGCCCACCCTGGCTTCTAGGTGGCCGCCTTGACCGGGACAGACAGGCCCAGCACTGTGCTGCGCAGCTCGGCGTCCTGGGCCTCCAGGCCCACGCCGCTGGGCGCCCGGGCGGGCAGCTCTGGCTCTGCCTCACCTCAGTGGCATCAGGAACTTGCCCCTCGGCACTGACACCTTGCTTGCGACGTCCCAACCTGGCCAGAGACTCTGTCCTCCCTGAGGTCATCTGGTATTTCGGCCTCAGGCCTTCGCTGAATTCACTGTCCAGCCCCAAGTGGCGGCCAGCTGGGTCAGCAGCACCTGGTCTCCCGGTGCGGTAGAGGGTGATTTCCGGAGGACACTGAGGGCGATGGGCTGGTGGTGCCGCTGACGTTTCCCAGCCCCTGGACAGACAGAATTAGGGTTCGCCCCCTCGTGGGGGCCTTCAGGCGCCTGATGGGCGCCGGCATAGCCTGGCTACCGCGAGCATCCTACTGCACGAGCACTCCCTGACTGCTCTCGCCTGGGGACCGGGGGGACCGTGAGCAGGGACCGGAACATGCCAGCTGTCCACGCCAGGGCCCGTCCTGCTTCCTGGTTAGTGACCTCCGGGGGTGCAGCTCCCGAGTGGACTTGACGGGGCCCAGGGGCAGCCGCGCTTGGGGCGTGGCCCCAGTGGCCGGAGGAGGGACGGCGTGAGCCGAGTTCGTAGGCCAGGGCGGGGGCGCCTCCAGATGCGCCTCGCTGGTGGCCTCCTCCCCCGCAAGTGTGTGTCCTGGGGCAGCTGTCCCAGTAAGAGAAGGGAGGACTTGGCGGTGAAGACTTTCGTAGCTTCGGGCCTCCCTGGTGGCGCGGCGGGTTGAAGCCCAACACTGTGAAGCCCACCCAGCACAGCCGCCGCAGCAGGAGTTCGATTCCCGGCCAGGGAGTGACCCCAGGGCGCGGCAGACCTCTCCTGTCTCCCCGCTGCTCCCCTCAGCGGTGTGCTTCATTCATCTGCCCGTTCTGCCCCCCCGCTCTGTCTCTGGTCAGTCCTCTCACCGCCCCTGCACCTCAGGCCTGTACCCCACTTCTGTACGCATAAAAAGTCTTATTAAAAAAAAAGACCCTTGTCGCTTTCAAGAAATGTTCCTCTCCCCTCTCTGCAGGCCATGTGGCTTTGCAAGCACCTGAGCAGCAACCTCATCACCATGGACAGCCTGCTGGCCCAGGAGCTCCCCTTTCTGCCTGACGCCACCAAGATGTGTTACCAGAGAAAGAAGGTGAGGCTGGCTGGGCGGAGCGGCGGGGCCGGCGGCGGGCTCCAGGCAGGCCCAGCCCGGCCTGGCTTCCTCTGTGGATGTCGGGGCCAGTGCCCTGGCAGCGAGCCCCGCAGGGGATGGCGGGAGGCAGGAGTGCCTCCCGGGGCCTGTGTTCTGGTAGGTGCTGATCGGGGGGCGCTGAGGTGAGGGTTCGACAAGAAGGATGGTTACTGGGGGGCTGTGTGTAGATGGAGCCTAAGCTGGCCCCGGTGCTAGGGGCCACTGAGGGCACTGGGTTGACCGCAGGCTCTGCCCCACAGATGGGCGAAGCAGCCTGCGGGGCCTGAA